AAATCTTTTTGAGACAGGGTCTCACTTGCAGTTCAGGCTACCCCTGAGCTCACTTTGTAGCCCAGGCTGGTCTTGAACTCACAACAACCCTCCTGCCTCAGAGTAATGAGCGCTGGGATTACAGGTGGGCACCACCATGCCCGGCTTGCTGAGAAAAGCTTAATACTCAATACCTATTTTCCAGAAAGAAAGAAAGAAAGAAAGTAGCAAAAAAGAAAAAAAAATTATATTCCTGGCTGTCCCTCTGGGTTGTTCGCACTCTTCCAGGTACTTTACCCTTTTTTATGTTTTAAGGAAATCCAGATTTGATTCATCTGAGAGCAGATGAGACTTAATTTTGTATTTCTAGTAAATATTTATTAAATGTATTGCATCTTATTAAATGGTAGCTTTCCTTTTCTAGCTTGTGTTGGTTTCTCTAAAGCCATGTTTAAAGGGAGTGTCCTTCTACCAGTAAATCCGTGTGTCTACGCATTGCTTCATAGAGCTGGGCAGGTTCCCCGCATCATAGTTACTCAACAAAAAAGGGAGCTTTTAAAATGAAATACAATGAACTCAGATCCTTGTCTCAAGTACTGTAATAAGCCAACGCCTCCATCAAGTGAGCAGATACACTGAGCATCTCTTAGTCCAGTTAAAGAGGACATCCGGGACACAGGCACAACCAGAATGGCCAGCGAAACAGGCGAGGCCCGCGAATCCCCTGGGAACCTCGAGGCGCCCTCACATTCTTCCTGCTAGGAACGCTACTTTAACAAAGGGGCTTCGAACAAGTGTATTAAAACTGCCTTAACTACAAAGAACCCCAACCCCTGTAAAATGCTGAAACTTTGGTAAGTGACGAGTAAAAGTACAAAATTGTGCAAAACACGCCTTCTGATAAATTGGTTTAAAAAACCGTGAGCTCTTTTTCAAGGGAGGCCTTTAGGTAAATTCCCTGCGGTGCGCGGATCGCGGGCAGCACCGGTTCCAGCGCACCGAGGTGCCAGGTCTGTGTCCAGGGCTGCAGCAGCACGTGGGGGGGGGGGGGGGCGGGGGCCCGGGGGGGGGGGGGGGGGGTCCAGGGACCGGAGGCAGGTGCAGGGTGCGCGGGGCGCCAGCAGCTCCCGAGCCTCCGCGTCCTCGGCGCCCCGCCGGCGCACGGCTCACGTCCTTTTCCTCCAGGGCGGCGCCCGCCTCTCCTTCTGCGCCTCGGCCAGGCGCTGCTTCTCGGCCTCCTCCGCCCGCCGCCTCTCCTCCTTGGCCTCCTTGTACCGCCACTTGGGGAGCTGTAGGTGGGCGCTGTCCTTGGTGCTGCCCTTGCGGGCCGCGCGCTCGGGCTGGTAGGTGGGCGCCGGCGCCTTGCTGACGCGCACTCTGGGCACCACCACGCCGGGCCGCACGCTGCCGCGCCGCAGCAGCTGCAGAGGCAGGAGGCTGGCCTTCCGCGAGACTGGAGCGGGTCCCTTTGGCTGCTGGGGAGACGCGAGGCCGGAGCCCCCCCGCGCCTCGGGGGCCCGGAGCCGCTCCTCGGCGGTCTCCTTGTCTCGGCCCTGGGCAGGGGCGTCTGGGTTCCTCCCGGCTGCGAGTATCTCCTGCACCGCCAGGCGCCTTTTCCCCACACAGGGCGGGTTCTCCGGACACACAGTCTGGCACACGACGGCCACGGCTGGGCTGTAGAGGCTCGTGGTCATCCTGACCATGTGATCCAGCACGCCCCCGTCCTCCAGGCCCTGAGCAGCGCGGGAGCGGAGTGTACACCGCAAGAACTCTGAGAGCCGCTGCCAGCAGTTCTTGGATCCCGCCGGCTTCAGGGCAGGCTCGGGTGCTGGCGGCAGCTCTGGCTTGTACTTGTCACTGAACTGTTCCGGGCAGGGTCGCTCCAGCAGCCTCTGCATGACGCGCACCGCCTCCACGCGGCCGGTGTACGCAGCCCACTCCTGCGAAGACATCCCGCGGCGGGGGTCCCGGGCATGGACGTCTGCCCCTGGGAAGTGAAGCACAAACAGGAGTGGGTGGCTGGGGCAGAGCTCTGACTGCACGCAGAATGCAGGCAAAACATTCAAACTCTCACAGGGCCCTTGGCCTAGGGGGAACCAGGGCAGAAAATCACCCACCTGCGGGGCTACCACGACGTTACTGTCACTGCGAAATCCGCCTTTCAAGTGTGCTATCTAACGTTTTATTTTTTCCTAAAGAAAGCCTACCTAAACTCAGTGTCTTGTCCATGGAATTTTTAGCTGGATGGAGTGTGCATACCTGCAATCTCAGCTCTCAGGAGGTTGAGGCAGGAGGATTACTGCAAATGTGAGACCAGCCCAGGCTCCATAGTGAGTTTAAGCCCAGACTACTGAACTACATGGTGAGACCCTGTATCAAAAATTACATATATATAATCAAAGCCATAAAATTCCCTGACTTTCCATCAGCAGACACTAGGGGTCTCACAGAGCTCTTGGGTGATGAAGTTGGGATGGTTCTGCAAATGGCAACAGCAAGCATCACTTGCAAATCTCCAGGACCCCATCTGGTATGGCTCGTACCTAGCTGTCCCCCCAAAGCCCCATGCCATCACAATGGGGCTTCTTCAGAGGTGGCTGGATCTAGGGTGTGTGGTGCTGGGATGAAGGGTGTGACCTGGGTGTGCCTGGCACCCATTCCCAGGCTTACAGCCCAGGGAGAGCGCAAGGGGACAGGAAGAGGGCTGCTGCTGCTCCTGCTTTGAAGCTGCACTGTCTCCTGGCTGCCCTGCATGGACCGTTTCTCCCTGGCCTTGGAGCCAAGCAACTAGGGACTGAAAGGTTACCAAGGGTGAAAAGCCAAAATCAACCTCCACCCCTTCGGGTGCCGGGTATTTTGTATCAGCAATGACAGAAGTAACCAAGACAGATTTCCTCCTCGTCACTCACCAGAGGACGGTGGTGGGTCTGTTTTGTGGGCATGTGGTCCTCATTGCTCACCCTGGAGCTGGCTGCTGGCCACCCTGGTGCCTTTTGCCAGACAGGGCCACCCGTACTCAGATTTTCTCCTCAGCACACCTGACTCTCAGAGCCAGAGGCGCAGGCTGCACACAGGCTCCACGCAGCACGAACAGTGGTCATAGCAGTGGCTCAGCTGGTCACAAGTGGCAGAAGCAGGTCTCAGACCTGAGTCCCTGCACTTCCCATAGTCCTGGCAGGGCAGATGTGATGGTTTTGTGCCCCCTTGGTGAGGTTACAGTACCCAGTTGTTTAGTCACACACTGAGCTTAGTGCTGGCCTGAAAAGGCTGGATGTGGCCAACATCTACCCTCTGCTGACTTTAAGCCAAGGCCACCCTCAAAGATATGGGTGGGCCTCATCTATTTAGTTGGCTGCCTTCCTAAGCAAAGATGGGAAAGAAAAAATTCTGCCTCAAATCAGCACCCAACTCCCACCTGCAGAACCACTGTACAAATTGTGCACTTAATCACACAATGGCACGAGCCCATTCCTTATCACAAATGTTCCAGTACACCCATTGGCCAATCTGTTTCCTTAGCAACCCTGATGATGGATTCCCATCATCCCCCTGTACCCATCATGGCGCATGGGGGGTTCCCCTTCCTGCCCACCACATCCAGGAACACTGCAGCATCTACTTCAACCCAACTTGGTAAAACCAGCATCCATCTCAACCTGGTAATGTGGAAATGAAAACAGAATAGCTATTCAATTCCTCTTGGTACAACCTCAGCCCCACATATAGTTAAAAAGCATGCAGAATTTCCAAGTGTCATTAGTCATCTCTACTAGCAAAGCAATGTGCAGAACTAGGGCAACCAAGGTGCCGCTGAGCTCCCCAGGGACCCACGGCAGCAGCAGCAGCAGCAGCATCTTCATTTGTCGGCTGAGGGCTGCTGGGCCAGGCAGCATGGCTTGGCGCTTCTCTGCACTGCCAGCTGCAGTGGCCCGGCCCAGGCAGCCCAGCTCTCCTGCACTCACTCCAGCTCCAGGGCTCAATCCCGTGATGCACTGAAGAGCAGTACCTGAGAAGACTGCTCGTTATATGGAACTGGAAACTGGGAGGAACTCATTAGCCACAGTACAATGTATATACAGACTCCAGCGAAAAGGGGGCAGTAAAAATGTCATTGCAAAAAATAGATGACACATTAAACCTTAATTAATTGCATGTCATTTAAGAAAAGGAACAAATTGCAAAACCAAACTCTTAATGAATGCTGCCTGAGAGCGACATTTTTCAAATGCTAATAGAAGAAAGGCAGTGGCTGTCCAACGTGGAATGCCCGTCTCCACTGCCCTGGCTTTTCAGAGGGCCCCAGAAAATACAAGCCCCAGTGCACAAGGCTGTCCTGAGGGTGCTTCCATCGGCCCACGCTTTGTGAAGCTACTGTCAAGAGTGACACAGGCGGCTGGAACCTAATCACTAAGCCCTGAACGACAGGCATGGCACCTTCCTACCCGTGGGGGACGGGCTCTAAGACCACATGGGGCCCCAAGTCCCAGCAAGCATCCACCTCTTGCGTCCACATGACCTGGGCAACGCTCCTGTGCATCTGACATAATCTCTAGCCACCTTGCGTACCGAGTCCAAGGCTAAGCAAATAGACGCTCTGCTGACTGTTCAGGGAATTACAAGGGGGGACAAGGTCACACATGTTCAGGAATGACACATTTTTAAACAATATTTTCTACTTATAGCTAGCTGAATCCACGGTGCAGAGGACTGACTGTATTGATCATTAATATTTTTCTACAATTTCTGTCAGAGAAAATAGAAAACTTCTGCATGGCAAAACCACCCATCTTCTCCCCAGAACACCGTCACATCCTCCCTTCCCTCACTCAAGGCTGCCCCTCCCCAGCCTCCAGCCTCCCGCAGGGCCTGGGCTTTGGCCACTGGGCCCTTTGGCCGCCAGGAGGAACCCTGCAAGCTGCCCGCATGACATCCTCTGAGCGTCTGAGGCAGTGACCTACCCCGCCTAGGCCAGCGAAGGCGAACCTTTCTGAGCATTCCACAGCAGCCAGCAGCCCACTGTGGCGCATGTGCCAGAACTTCACTTCACTGGTCGAGGCCACGCATCGCGAGGGGCAAGCCCAGAGCATGACCCTGGGGGCGTCGGGAAGCAGTGACATGGTAGCCTCAAGCTTTGGGGACTAGTAGCCAAGTAGCTATCGCTGGTGCGGGCCGCCTGCGCACTGCAGGCTTTCCACAGCACCCCAAGGGTGCCAGCAACACCCCGAAGCTGTGACAGCCGAGGGAGTCTCCAGCCACTAACAAAGGTCACCTTGACTTCGAATCAAAGGAACCTGATGACCACAGTCCAGGTGCCCACCTGCCTGGCCCCCAGTGGCCAAGTAGCCCCAAGCTGGACAGTGACCCTAACATCTGTACCCCATAAATGGACCCCTGAGTTGGCACTGCTGAGTCCCATCTTAATCCCGGAGCAGAGTCTGGAAGTGCAGTGACTTGTGGGACCAAGAGGAGACAAAAGTCAGCAATACAGTGAGCTGTATACCAGAGGAAAGAGCCAGGTCTGCCACCAAGCCCTGCACCCCTCGAGGGCAGGGGAAGCGCCACCTCCCTTTAGGCCACCATCAAACCAGGATTTCTGTCACTGGCAGCCAACTGTTTCAAAAAAAAAAAAAAAAAAGCTAAAGGGGAAAAGCTGGGCTTCGCCTCTTTCGCTCCCAGGGTCCTTCTGGGAGCCACGCCAGACCACAGGCCCAGGGCAGTGGCGGTGCGTGAAAGTAGTGGGGTCACACCCCTGCCCCCAGTCCTATTGGCACCAGCCCCTGCGTCACCCCACAGAACAGGGCTCCTGCCTGTCCCTGGGGGCTGCCTGGCTGGCTTTCCCCTGCACGGCCTCTGGCCTGGACCCTGGGCACCACAGGAGGGGCCTGTACCCCTGCTGCACGGAGGCCCACCCAGCTCCAACCCAGCTCCCATGCCCCTTGGGCAGCATCTCCAAGACCTCATGGCTCCTCTGTCAGTGCCCAGTGGGGCTGTGTCCCAGTGCTGCAAGAGTGACCTGCACTGGGGAACACACACTCACCGTGACACCCTGCCCCCTCCCAAGCTCAACCCCTCGGCCATACCTCTTTCTGAGGTCATCCTCCAGAAAAACTACTTCTCCCCAAGTCCTTGTCCCAGGGTTTGATCTGGGGGTGGATAGAGCTCCTGCCTGCAGGCTTCTCTGCTAACAACTCCAAACAATCCCAGCGAAGCTCCTGCCCCCTGGGAAAGGAAAGCAACCTCCGTCTTGACAGAAATCAACTGGCTTTCCAGGAGACTGCGGTCGGGGATTGGCCAGGACGAGAAGGACCATGGGTCAGCAGCAGGGGGCTGCCCCCCGGCTCCCTGCCTTCCTCTCCATTCCTTGCTTCCCAGGAATGAACCTGCTCTTCTTCACAGAGGCTGCAGCAGTTAATGGAGTGTCAGGCAGAAGAGCGAGCTCTCGTCCTCAAGCCTGGAAGCCGGCAGCCTCCGCAAGAAAACAGCACGTCCTCAATTCGGCTTCTCAGCACCACTTATTGAAATAGACGTGTCACACTGGGCATTAATATTCCACTGAATTAACACGGTGCCACGGCCTCCCTTGTGACTCCTATCGGCATGGCCAGCTGTATGAGGCACAGAAGCCAACGCCACGAGCCAGCTCCTGAGAAGGTGCCTAGATCTTCCTTAATTCAAATCCAAAGTTCAAGCAATTCTAACACTACTCTCTGCTGCCTGGCAACACAGATCTGAGTGGAAGTTTGCCTCCTGCTGCGGTTGCGGGACACGCACCGAGCAGGGGTCACCCCATTCAGCCCGCACCCTTCCAGCAGCGTGGAGGGACTGACTCCTGTTGAAGGCCAGGCAAGCGCAGCTGGCAGCTCAGCTTGGGAGCAGAGAAGCGCAC